CCCGGACTAGTATAATAATCGTGTATGACCTAAATAAATAAGAAGAAATATAGCTTGACAGCGCAAAGTTATACGGTGTAAAATTGTCCTTTATTGTTTTTTGCAGTGTAGAAATAACATCAAAAATGATAGAAAAACGTTGGAGGGCGTTTTTCTTACAACGTTTCGCAACTTTGTTAATATAACGTTGACCTATGTTTCATATATGCCATTATTCCAACGTGTAAAAAACGATAGAAAAGACGTTGGCTCAACGTCATTTTAGCTAAAATGTAACGTTAGCCTAACGTCTTTTTTCTTCAAATTTAACTTTGCTCCAACGTCTTTCCGACGTCATTTAGCTAAAATGTAACGTTTTCACTACGTCATTTTACATCGTTGTAATAACGTTAGTAAAATGACGTTTTTTCGGTGTTTCATTTATAACATCATGCCAACGTCTTTCCAACGATACGAAAGACGTTAGAACAACGTTGTTCCGACGTCATTTTTCTTATTGGGATTATAATAAAAATAAAATGACAGAAATAAAAATAATTACAATAATCATAAAAAAAATACTAGTAATTTAGTATTAGTCACATAAATACACACATATACAGACACATACAAATACACACATACACACTTACGTTCACAAATACATATAAACACATATACTAATATCCCACTGTATTCAATACAGGTATGTATACATTAATTGTATACAAACATAATATACACCCATATATGTAAATTAGTATGAACTATACACAAATAAACGTATATACACACACGTACATATACATACACACATACATACACATATACAAACATAGCATAACATACATACATACACATATACAAACATGAATACATATACACACATTTAATAATATTATATATGCATATATTATATACACCAACACATATTCGCATACACACATACACATATATATACACATACACACACATATATATACATATGTATACATACATACATATATACCCATATATATATATATATATATATATATATATATATATATATATATATATATATATATATATATATATATATATATATTTATATATACTATATATATATATATATATATATATATATATATATATATATATATATATATATATATATATATATACTCACACACAGACACATAATATATATATATATACACACACACACATACATATATACCCATATACGTATATATATATATATATATATATATATATATATATATATATATATATATATATATATATATATATATATATATATATATATATATATATATATATACACATACACATGTATATACATACATATACACACATATACATACTATAGAGAATAAAATAGATAATAAAGGAAAATGAGATTTGTTGAAGATCAACGAGCATCCTTTGTTTATTCTCTATAACCAATAGCTTTCCGGATATTACCTTTCCATTCGCCAATAGCTTATAGTTAACGAATGACTTATTAGACATTTTGTTGTCAAATCTGACACTCCATGACTCACTCAAAACTAGAAAATGAGCTACTGGCGGATGTATTTAAGGTATTCAGAATGTCATCAATAATTTATTATGGCTCAAACCCAGCTCAAAAAAAGACAAATTTTAACCTGAAGGTCAACACTGATATTGACATATATCTCTTCTTCATGTCCTTAGACAGTGCAAAATCAATTAGCTACACCATGTGCTTAATTATGCAGTGGTTGCCTATTGGAGTCTTGACTTAGCAGCAAATGGAAAAAGTTCTGGCTTCAACAGATAAAGCGCCGTAAAGCGCCGTAAAGCTTAGTCATCCCCAGTAAAAAAAAAGGTTTTACCACATAGGTTCCACGTGGGTTCCAGGTGGAATACATGGAGACCCACATAAAACCCATGTGAAACAAGATTTTTTTTCACTGGTTTGAGGTTGACATCAAATACCCTGAACATCTGCATGACTCTTACAACAACTATTCTTTCCTTCCTAAAGCATAAAAAAAAATGGTTAAGGTAGTATCAGCAAAAATTAGTTGAAAACCTTAATACAAGCTTCACTGAATGCACTAAGTTAGTCTCTAACCAACGCCATAAGAAGCAATGCATTACGCATAACCGCAATCTAATACTCTATTATTTGCTCAGGATAGAAACAACTCGCATCAATAGAAATGTAAAATTTAGGAAAGAATCTTGGATAGCACTATAAATTGAAATGAATACTGAAATGTAGGAAAAAATGTTTAAAAATACATTGTTAGTACCTTGCTTATATTTTACTCTAACATAAATATTTATATAGTTATCTATTTATTTTTATAAAATAAAAACCAATGTAATTTTTTTTTTTTTTTTTAAATTCTTTTAATTTCATTGGTTTAATAGTATTTGACAGTTTTAAAACTGAAAAGCCCCATTTACGTTGAACAGACGAAGTTTAACTATTCAAAAGTTAAACGTCTTTATTTTCCTTATAACAAGTAGTCATTTCAACAACTATGACGTGTTGTTAGTGCCTTGACCAATTTGTTCATAATGTAGTAAGTTGGCCTGATGAACCGCATTATAATGCCTCTCATTGAATATAGCTCTTGGAATATAGCTAGGAATGAAGAATTAGATTTGAAAAAATAGCTTGTTTCCTCAACCATTTACCAGTATCTTTTTTGGAAATCAAGCGGTAATGGCGCAGTGGTTAGAGCGCTTTCTTTATAAGAAGGAGATCCAGGTTCGAAACGAGTTATTGACATATTTTCGCGTAATGGTAAGTAAAGATGCGTGAACTTCCTGGTTAAATGCACTTCCGTGGTGCTCTGTGACAAGTCCGTTCGGTCTTCTTGAGGCACCTAAATAACAAAAAAAAAAATGTTTTTGCAGTGTCTGAGAGTTTTTTAATGGCATAAAGCCCACGCCAGTATCCTTTTGTGCTACAGTATACACATGTTTTTTCCCACCGTAACATAATGTTGAATGTTTATCCAAAATTAAAATAATTTTCAAGAAACTCAATTAGATATTTATAAATGCTATGATAAGTATAAAACATGGTGTTTAATTCCTAAAAAAAAAAAAAAGTATTTTTCATTATCTAGATAAAAATAGAGCTGCATTCGATTAATATACACAAGATCTATAACAAAATTTTTTTCCACTCAAAGTTCAAAACATTCCACAGCGACGAGGTAGCTTTAATATATGTCTCAAAAAAATGCCAGCGTCTATTACAGGACTTTATAACAGGGTTTCTTGTCCGATGAAACATATTGTTTCAGAGAAAGTCAACAATCTTCATAATAACATAATCTTCAGAATCTTCATAAAATTTTTGATGAACGCCAAAATCAAAAATACTAGTCGTCAATTCAATTTAAAAGTTGTGAGTACGCTCGGTTTTAGACTCTAGGCGAACTTTGTAAAACTATTTATTAATTTATCTAAGGTTGTAATAAATACTCACAGGTATTCAGAGTCGATAAATCAATTTAATAGGTGCTTTGCTGGAAACCAATTGTAAAAAAAATCAATGAGTGTTTCTTGCATTAGTTTATACACAGAGTGTGACTCATATACTCTAAAATAATCTGTAATGTCGAATTGGTTGAACTCAATGTAGCATTTGATCTCACTTTGTTAAGAAGGGTTAGCAATTAGTATTTTTAAAAGAACCGGTGTTCAGGGAATTTGAGAAGTACTTTTAAAATTAATGGCATGCAAAGAGGATAATATTTATTTTTGATAACTGTGTCTGCAAGTCTTAGATAGATTTTCTTTTGAGAAAAATCGCAATAAGTGGCCGGAATAATAAGCACAGCCTGCAGATACTCATAAAGAGGTACACACGGGTTCCAAGAGTTTCTAAAGACCAGCTATCAGCAGTAGTTGTTCTTCCACTTTTAAACCAATTACCTTTTGCGATAATAATTAAGGTAAATTAGCAGCTCATAAGCAATGCTGAAGTAAAGTCTATTAGTAAGCATCTTTTTTCTAAATTGTACGCCGACGCAATAAGATACCATAGTCTTTACTTTCAAGATAAGAGAATAAAATTGAATTGCTTTATTATTATCCTAGCCGTTAAACAAAAAATTATGGAGCCCATTTAGAGCAGCGTGTAATTAAGCGTTCAGAAAGCAGTTCACTTAGTATAGTCAAATCATTAGAAAATAGCTCATTTACACGTTACCATTCTTGGCCAGCTCTGTTGTTTCAAAAAAAATCTTTGAAAATATTTGGTAAATAATTTGCGTATTAAGATCTGGCTAATGTGTTACCTGATGAGATGACTAAACTTTATACTTAAGACACAAAACAAATGGGTAGAGAAGAAGAATTTTTGTTGCATTCAAAACACTCCAAAACTTCTAACAGTCTTATCACAGAGCACCGCAGAAAAGTATTTAATTAGGAATTTCACGCCTCCGTCCTTACCAATAATGCTTATCTGTTCAGAGCTGACATCTAACCACGGAGCTTTTGGTTCTGAACTCTAATCACTGTATCACGGCTGGTTTTATGGAGAAGCTTAAAGGTAATGAATAGTAGTGGTTCAATAATATCGAAGACAGCTTTCACATTATTAGTGCAAACATCGTCGAGACCTGCACTCTTATTTGTTTGAAGTGTGTTAAAAGCTAAACAAGGCTCGTCAATACGAAGTTCTGAGTTGTCCATTTCAAAATCAGATTCATTCTAAATAGACTAGAATGATTTGTTGACTACAGAAATTTCATTGGCAAATTTTGTTTTTTAATGTTTATATAATAATTATTGAGTTTCTCAGAACTTTTTTAAGTAGCTTACAAAATTATAAGATGTTTTTGAATAATAATTTTAATTTTGTAAGCTACTTAAAAAGTGCTAAAATATCAATATTAACGCTCACTGTTGGAGCTACGCTATTTTGAAACTTTTTACACAATTGGCCAGCATACTTCATGATTTCAAAAAGTATATAAAAATAAATAAAACTAAAATATTTTTGCAATGAAAATAAAAAAAAGGAGGTACAAGGGTGAATAAAAAATAAGGTAAGTTACATGGACATTACAATTTATTTACAAATAGATTCATTCCATATAAATAGAAACTTATCAAAAAAATTTAAATGTATTTACAAGTGGGAGGATGGTATTTACTCCACACAAATATTTCCATTAAAACAGATACCACAAGAAAAACTGCGTAAGAAGATAACATTCCGTAACCTATAGTTTTATCAAGATAGTAGTTACGATAATGGAAAGCAGCCAATGTGCAAATCACTGATATGAAAATGATAAAACTTGAAACTAACATCCCTACACTTTGAACCTCTATTGTAGAATCCAAATCGTAAATTAATGTTTTTATTAGCCATGGTAAACCTAACCCAAATAAGATATCAAATACATTACTTCCTAGCGCTTGTGCAACTGCCATATCTCCTTTGCCTAGATAAAAATGCGTTTAAAATGTTTTAAAACTTTATTAATATATAATTTTTCTAAATAATATTTCCTGGAAGTGTATAATTTTACTTAGTAAAATTTAATTTTACGAAATTGCAATATCATAGACAAAACCTAAAAAACCTTTTAAAAAAATTTACGTCTAAAAGATGATTTACCTATTCTTGCAACATAAATACTTGATAATGCGTCTGGCAAACTACTTCCAAATGCCACTAAGGTTAATCCCATAACAGCTTCAGGAATATCCAATGTGAAACCAATAATCGTAACCATCCAGACAAGAATATAAGTCAAAGTACCTATCCATAAAATTGAAATGATGAAAGTTATTGTTACGTATCCTCGAAGGTTACGACGTCGTATATCAGGGATTGAAAAAAAGAATATGGCATTAAGAGGAAAAAACAAAACCCATGTAAATCGATCTAAAATATTAGTAGGAAATTCAAACAGCTTTTTAGGTTCCTCTATTGGATATACGTCTTCTTCTGATTCTGAGGTATCAGTTTCTAAATATAAAAAAATATACTTTTTTTAATACCTAAATTCTACATAAAACAATTTAAAATATCTACGAAGACTAAAAAATCAGCTTTGTATTTAGTTCCAATCATACATATAAAGATAATTTTTTTTTTGATTTAAAGGAAATCTTTGTTACTAAACTGCCATAAATTGCAACCTTTTTAATAACTTGTCAAAGCAATAAACACCCATAGATTCAAAAATATTATTATTATTGAATCAATGGATAATTTAAAGATATTATTGAGATTTCTAACGAATAAATTTAACTTAGAGATGCATTTTTAAATTATATAGTATATGTATATACAAAAAAACGTATTGTAAATCTGTTTAAATACTTGAATTTAAATTTAAAGTTTAGCAACAGCGTTTACTCAATAAAATTTTTTTGCATTTGAAATTTTAGGTCAAAAAGTTTTTTACTAATTTTTCATGCTATTTTTACGCACAGGTTTAAACACGTCACTAAAATATATATTTTTAAAGATATAGAATGATATAAATATATAATATTATGAGTATTGTAAACTACATAACATAGATTATTGTACGACATTTTTTTATACCATAGAAAATTTCTTCTTTTTGGTGCCCTGTTTCTCCGTTTTTATTTTCTTCTGGTGTGTTTTTCCAAGTAACTCTTTCTCCTTCTCTTGTAGTAAATCGCTCATCCCGTGTTTTGGTATCTCCTATATAGTCGTAAAATTTTCTCTCTATACTTTCATTGTACCACATAAGAAGTAGATATGCAACGTACAATAGTAACATGATGGCAGCTTCTTTCCTTAAATCAAATTTAAACTTTATTTTGAATAAAAAACTAATACTTGTCCTATAAAATGGGTTATTAAATAAGATTATAAGTTACAACAAATGAAATTTGTCACATAATTATTTAACATAATTAAGAATAGCAGTAAGATAGCTATTCTGCAGTCATTTGCATGACCAGTGTATTTGCATTTTTTTTAACTCTAAAAAACTTTGAAACTTAGAAAAGAATAAATATTAAAGCTTTTTATAAACTTTATTCAAGATGCAAGATTAGTAGATAATTTTGTAGAAGCCTAGGTTTATCGATTATTGAAATAATTTAATTTAACAAAGTGTTAAAAAAGTTGCTTCAAAAAATTTAAAATCAATAACATATAACAATAACAAAAAATTTAAAAACAATACAATAAAATCAATAAAAACAAAAACAAAAAAAGATTAAAACTAACCATGTTACAGATCCGTCAAAAATGACAATTGTTAGAACGATTAATGTGAACGCATAACACAAACAATCTCTTGTGAGGGGCCACCATGCTAGTTTTAAAACCTAATGTATAATATTTTTTGAAAATTTTGAAAAACCATTAAAAAAAATTTAAATTGTTAAATAAGTAAATTGTAAAAAGAGAAAAGCAAACGGCTTTTACTTGTTGTAATAAAAGTCAAAAAAATACAATTTTTACATCTTGTAATCTTTAACAACGGTTTTATAGATAAAAATTTTTTGTCAGTCATTTTAAAAAAATTCGGATTTAAAATTTTTGTTTTTTAACTTCATACAAACATAGTAAACAAAAATCAACCTTGCTTGCAACTATGCCACTGATTCCAAGAACAAATAAAACATTGAAAACAGCTGATCCAAGTATTGTTCCAATTCCAATATCACCTTTTGTTATGAAAACTCCTTTAAATAGAACGGAATGTTTCTAAAAAATTTTATGAACCTAAAAAATAAACAATTAAATATACAGATCAATGCAGAAATTTATAAAATATACTTTACCAATCAATGATGCAAAAAGCTCTGGCGCTGAACTTCCTATTGCCATTAAGGAGGCCCCCGCAACGTCTGTCTGTAATTTTAATTTGTGGCATATTACTTCCAGAGATGATATAAAGTAGTAATCGCACACAATTGCTAATCCAGCAAACATATACATGGAAATAAACACGTGAAATATAATTGCTCCATGTTTCTTCTGGGATGTAGTAAACATATCAGGGGGAAACTCTGAAATCGAAGGAAGAAGACACGTGCTATTTTCATGGCTCTCTTTTACTGTTTCAGTTAAGTTTGCTGATTCCAAACTGTTAGACGATGTATTCAAATTTATATCTGACACAAAATTATCGGTGGATAGGGGTAAAAAATTTTTTTTCAAATGATTGTCGTATAGTTGTTGTTCTGTCCTAGCAACAAAACCATGCCTTAAACCTGGACTGTTAACATACTCAAAATCTGCCTCATAGCTTTTAATAACGTGCAGATATCGACGACTTCCTAAAATAAAAAAAGTACATTAGAAAATTATCTTTTTAAAGTATAACGTTATTTTAAGTTTTGAGATTCAGTTTATTTCCCATTAACATTATTACACTTAAACGGTTCCGTAAAAAATGGCATTATTTTACTTTGTTCTTCTTGCTAGTATATAGTACCTCTTTGGTAGAAGTTGTGATTGTCTAGCATTTTTGTTTTTTTTGAGAAGTAGGAGGTGGATGGTTCATTTATTTATAATTGCTTTGGTCAATTGAAATTCAAATAATTGAGGACCTTAGTTTGCCTTTCATTCTGACTAATCTACTCATCTATGTTTCAAGAATTTACTGAACAAAAAAAGTTGAGAACAAAACATTTTGCCATAAATAAAATCAACAAGGAAACTAACCTCTCTGAGGGCTACCACAGAGTTCGAAAAACTTGACTACCAGCCGGCCCCAGAACCATAAAATTGAGTTTTATAGCTGTACCCTCATAAGGAGATAAGAGAATAAGTTACCTAGTCATAAAAACGGAGAAAAAAGTAAAACCCATGCATTGGGTCAAAAAGATCTAGCATTCAACAACCTAAACTGGAAACAATGTATTATAAATATATTTACACCTGCCTAATAGATGAAGAGGGGGTGCAAAATTGGTCAACAGAAAGAATCTGTGTACCCCTAAAGTCTTAGCCTAGGAGGCCTTTTACAAGACAGTAGCCGAATGCATTTAACTATCGAGACACTAATTTTAGTTTACTAAAATCTCTAATTTTAGTTTACTAAAAATAAAATTGCTAAAAATGAGCTAAAAAAGGTTTTTAAAAATTGAAGTTAAAATCATTGTGCCATTTGATAAAAATTTTTAGGACTATCAACCCATTTAATATAACTATATATCATATCAGTTATGAAGTTATGAAGCATTAATGAAGCAACAATATTTCGTCACTATGTTTGTTTTATCATGATGGTTCGTTGATGATGATTCATTGGAGTTTTCAGTGGTAAAATAAATTGTAATAAAAATTAAAATCTAAAATTTATAATTTTGTCACCAGGTCACATGATAAAAAATATCCTTAAAAAAGTTACACCTATAGAACAACACTAAAAATCAACAACTAACTAATATTTGTGAATATATCTAATACTAGTATATATTATTGTTTCTAAAATAATATATTATATCAGTATATGTAAAAATTGTAAAGAAATATTTTAATAAAACATGGAAACTAAAAAAAGATAAATACAAAAAACTAAAAGAATATTTTTACACTTTTAGTACAATGAAAATTAAGTGTTTAGAGTATTACGTTATAATTGCAATGCTAAACTCACGATAACTTTCCTCGGTATGATCTTTGCTAGTAAAACCATGCCAACAAATTATCAGCGTTAACGCTACAAAAGCAAAAAGTAAACGCCATTTTTTCGCATAATTTTTTCGATGGAAATAAGCAATTGTCATGTCAGGTTACCATATTTTTGTATTATTTTAAGATATAATTTTTAAAAAGTAATAATTAATTCTATCATTTACATATTTTTTTAAAATTTTGCTGCGCCGGAGGTGGTTTAAAGTAAATTTAGGCCAATAACTCTTATTCGGTCTATTGGTTAAGTGAATCGAAAAATCACTCAATACTCAAAAAATTCTTTCAAGTTGATGGCTAAGCATTTCTTATTCGAGTGTTATATTAATTTTATATTTTGTTTTAATTATTGTTTTAAGCCAGAAAAGTTTCACTTTTTTTAAGTACAGAATATTTTGTTTTTTTTTTATATATATGAGAAGAATATATATTTTTTAAGTCAACGAAATAAGTCAACGAAGTGAATATTTTTTTTAAGTATAAGAGAAAAGCATTTCGTGTTTACAGTTTGTTTAAAAAAAATCAAAATCAGTTTTTATGGATTTTCAGCCATGATTGGATTCTGAATGTATTGCTGGCCAGAAAAACTAAAACACAGCAACTTAAAAGAAAAATATTATTGTCATTTTTAGAAAAAAGTGGCATTCAAGTAACTTTCGTCAAAGAAAAATAGATTTGGTGAAATTAAGTTTTTAACTTTCAAACTTTTCAAGGCAGAATGCATGCATTTATCAACTTTTTAAATCCTCAATAATTTGCAACCATGACAATGCATGACAATGCAAAGATTTTTTAATTTTCCTCTTTTATTTATTTTATTTATCAAAATTTTAAGTAGGTTGGTAAGTAGATTGGTAGTCAACAGCAGGGCCGGTGCGAGTAGGTGTCACGTGGAGGGGGGTGCCATTGCAACTTTTGCCGACTAAAAAAAAAAAAAAAAAAGAAAAAGGTCTTCGTTTTTTAAAATTTGCCAACTGCCCTCCGACTGCCATAACGACATTTGCTGACTGTCTAAATTTACCGACTAACTTGTCAAAAAGGTCTACATTTGCCGACTATTTAGTCAAAAAAAGGTCAAATTTGCCAACTAAATAAATAAAAAAAATCATTTATGGGGGGGGGGGGGGGGTGTCACACCCCATACACACCCCCATCGTGCCGGTGTAGGAGGTATGAAGTACTTAACCGATACGGATCACTGTACAGTAATTCCTACCTGACGGTACCGATCACTTGACAATTCAAGTGATTCCTACCTAGGTACCGAACACTGTACTTGGGTACCGAACACTTAACATTTTAATTTTTCCGTGTAAATGTTTTAAAATGAGGTAACAAGCATGGAAAATAATACAAAAAAACGTTTGTTCGCTATAGTGAACATACTGCTATAGCAGTATAATATTATTTTAAATAAAATTTTAGTCAAACATTTAAAATTTAATATTTATCTCTTCTTTTTTTATGTAGTAACTTTTTTAGATCAAATTAAGATTGTTATTATAATACTAACTATTATTATTATTATCAAGATTGTTACATAACAGTTGTTAAGAAGACCAAAAGTAGCAAGGCCAATACGACAAATTACAAGACCAAAGCCAGAAGTTACAAGGCTAAAGGTTTTCAAGGTCAAGGCCAAGATTTAGAGTTTCAAGGCCAAGACGAAAGATTTTTAAGACTTAATTTTTGAGACTTTAATTATAAGGGCCTTGGCTTTCAAACTGACTTTTAAGACTCCATAGTTGAAGTGAAATCAACTAACTAAGGAGAAGAAAAATCTGAAATAAAACCACAAATCTATATATCAATAAGGGTAGAAGAACCTCGTAAACCTTGAAAGATAACCTTACGAGTATTAGTGAAAATAAGAATACTCAATCCTAAAATTCATAACAGATCAAATTTAAGGAGGAGATCATGTTGTAAAAACTCTTCTGCAATGTTATTTAATTAGAAAAAGAAGTTTTAAAAATTTAACCTAAATCGTTTTATAAAATTAACGTAATCCAATTATTTTAAAAGTTATTAAAAATAAATAAGTTTAAACTAAAAAAAGTAAATAATCTCTTTAAAATCGTTTTTTTTGCCGTTAGTAAATGTTACCTGAATTAAGTGTTTGGTATCTAACCAGTAGGAATTACTGTACAGTGCTTTGTACCAAAGCAGCAAGCACTGTAAGTAATGTTGTGAAGTTTCGTAATTCGAAAAATACAAGAACAATTTGAAATTCGGGTTAATGCAGATATAATCAGATAATTATAGTCTATTTATTAATTATCTAAAATTATCGACAAATTATTTATAAATAGTACATAAAAACTATATTAGACTAACTAATGTCAAAAACAGAAATAAATTTTGCAGAGAAATATCATACCATTTATATAAGTATGAAGAAATTAGTCTTCAGGCTATGTATTAAACGTCTTTAATAAATAATATGCAAATTTTGCGTGCACAATATTTATGAACCCATTTTTATTTATATAAACTTTTAGTTTTTATTTTACAATCTTTTAAAGAAAATGCGATTTGGTAACCCATAGCACCAAATTCCATATTGAAATTTTTCTTCTTTTTACCAAATTCTAGAACCTGCCAATTAGCACTCTTCCTCGTTACCCATCAAGGTTAAAATGCTCATGAAGGCTAAAAATTGAACCTTTGAATCTAATCCTTTTTTTTTTTTGTATGTATGTATTTAGGTGGTCCCAGAAGTCCTTACGGTCTTATCATAGAGCACCGCGGGAAAGCATTTAACGGGAAGTTCACGCCTCCTTCCGTACCAATGTCACTTGTTGGGCTAGACCTGGCGTCGAACCTCGGACCTCTGGGTTCTGAGCCAGAACTCTAACCACTGCGCCACGGCTGCTCAATCCTTACATCCTTACTTAATATATATATATATATATATATATATATATATATATATATATATATATATATATATATATATATATATATATATATATATATATATATATATATATATATGTATATATATATATATATATATATATATATATATATATATATATATATATATATATATATATATATATATATATATATATAAATATATATATATATATATATATATATATATATATATATATATATATATATATATATATATATATATATATATATATATATATATATATATATATATATATATATCGATTAAATCCTTACTAGGCATTGTAATCAAATAGTTTTTTGTTACTTTAAAATTAAAAAGAAAAGTTTTTCAATTTGTAATAATCAATATCAATAAAACCTAAAGTATAATTTAAAATTTTCAAAAGATAAATCTTACGTTTTGAGAACAAAACCGTTGTTCTCGAATACAATGCCTCTCTGATTGGTATAAAACTCACCGGGCGGTTTAGATCTGTGGGAAGTGTAGATATATGGGCAGTAGGGTGTGTCAATTTGATTACTAAAACCCAAAATTTTCAAAAAAAGAAATTTTATAGTGAAATTATGGTAGAATTTCATAAATGTAATGGAGTAATACTTTTAAAAATTAATTAAATTAGGCGGTAGCTAAATTTTTTTTGGTTTTTTATGTATTTAATTTGCTAATATTTTAAAAATCGTTAAAACAATGACGTATTTCATTTAAAACGTATTTTGTTTTTAAAAATTTAACTTTAAGTGGAAGAAATTTATTTCGGACCTATTAGGAAATATTTTCAAAACTTAAACGCTTAGCTTAATAAAAATAAAAATATTAAAATAATGGCACCAAAAATCACAAGAAATTTATCAGCTACTCATTTAAGTAGATATGTTGGAAAAGGAAAACCCTTTTTACCATCTGAGCTCCCTCTGCAAGGGATATTTTAAGATAATTTTCATATAAATAATTTAATATACCAATATAAATGCTCATAAATGATTTTGACATGCTCAAATAAATTCTTCATAGATCTTTCATTTGATATATAATAACCGACTCTTCAAAATCTCCTTCATGTTTAAAAAAGATGCATACAGTTGCTACCGCCAAATAATTTATTGTTTATAGTGCCATTTTTTAAATTATAGTCATTGTTGCTTTTTATTTTTCTTTAATTTAGATGGACCACAAGACTGCAAAAGATATTTGCGTTTTAATTAGTTCATATAAATGCAAATCGAAGCCTTTGTTAAATGGTGACATTTACAAAATTTTTTCTGAAAATAATTTCAAATTATCAAAAACTTGTCTGAAAATAATTTCGAATTAAAAAAACTGAACATTGGATCTCAAAATGCATCTGATTTTAAAATATTCTTCAATAATATAAGATACTTGCATAAAAAGATAAAAATCTTTAAAAAAAAACCCTACCCAGTCATGGGCTGCTATTGTTAATTTTTTGCAGCAACCATTTAAATATGAAAGAAAAAGAAATAGTTCTAATACAAATATTCACATAAACGTTGCATGTGATTTAAATATTGCTTCAGACACAATGCAGAGAAAAAAAGTTTCATGCAAAATAAAAAAAGATGAAATATGTAGTTTGCATGAAAAAAACAGAAAATTTCAGGAGAGAGTTCGTTTTTTGAAAAAATCAATGACCCGTAACAAGCTTACAAACAAAAAATTTAAAAGACAGTATTTTTCACTAAATTTGTGGAAATTGAAATATTCAGAAGAAAAAAAACAAAAACAGCAGAATAAGTTTCATTCTCTAGATTTCATTAATGAATTGAGAACTCTTAAAATTAGTAGAACGAAGTTGCAACAAAATGTTAAAAAAATAGAAAGGAAACACAACATTGAAACACCAAAAAATTAAAAACATATGACCTACCCATAAGAAAATGTGTTCATGCTGCTATTATTAACAATGTGCTTGCGGAAAGTGTCACATTTTTGTTAGAAAAAGTTTCTGAACTGTTACACAACTCAGAACTGCAAGAAACACCTCACTCATCCTCAGTAAATCGAATGGCATATGAGCTAGGTGTTTTAGCATTGGTTCAGGCTGGTGAGGCGCTTTTTTCATTGTGAATATGCAACAGTAGTGTTTGATGCAACCACCATTTTAGACAAACATGTAAATGAGTTTCTTATCAGTACCTATCCTCCGCAGAGATATTATTGCTTATCAACCGCTAAACTTGCTGGAGGTACAGGACTTGAATGTGCCACTCATATTGTCAGTGTAATAAAAGAACTTGCCAATACATTTGCAGAGTTTAAAAATATGCCCGCAGTAGAAGTTTTAGATGTATTCACTCAAAAAATCAAAAGTTGTCTGTCAGACAGAGCACCTGTTAATAGTTGTGTGAAAAACATGCTTCAGGAGGAGATGGACATTCAATTAATGCAACTGTACTGCAATGTTCATCCATTGGAAACTATTGCCTTAAAAACATTATTAGCTCTTAAAACAATAGATAATGAGTTGAAGATAAAACCGGCTAAAGGAACTGATTGGGTTGCAGTAACAGTCCTCAAAAATATTTCTAAGCTAAGGTAATCTTTTATATGTATATCTTTCATTATTTAAATTTTTTTTTAGTTTTATTTTCTTGTGAGCAATTATTTCTTAATTATTTCCAAGTTTTGAAAACTTGAAATTTTAATTTTTTTGCTCTTTAAAAATCAGGTATAGTTTTAAAGGCGATCCTACAGCATTCAAAAGCTATCTTAAAAAAAACAATGTTGCTCCAGGGCTATTCCTTAGATATGTTGGTATTAGATTTCATGTTTTGTTCCATATGGCAGGGATTGTTGTTACATAACGAAAGACTTATAAAAACCTTTCTTGAAAAGTTTTTTTTTTTTTAGATGAATATTTAGTTTAATAGAATTCCATGAATGACCATTTTCTCGTTATTCTAGAAACACCAAAAATAAAATTTGCCATCTCTTACTTCAAGATATGAGTAATGATATAACGCTTGTGCAACTGCAAGGGTTGGGCCTTATAGGAAAAATAATAACTAGGCCATGGATGAGTCTGGTTTATAAAAATGCAACAGAAAAGAGTAATCTTGAATTTGTAAGTTTTTAAGGTTTTTTAATAAACAAATAAAGTAGTTTAAAAAATGTACAAAAATTATTTTTTTATTAGAATGACATTTTCCAGAAAGCAATAAGGCATTATTATAGCTTACTTCAAAAGTAATCCAGAATCAATTCTTTATACAGATGTGGATATTTTTAGTCAAGTATTAAATATCAAAAAAGATAAGGTGCACCAATCCCTTCTTGTAATAAAAAATAAAAATATTTAGGTAAAGATTTTATCAGCTTTGATAAGCTACACAGAGACAGTTCTCAAAAGACAGATGGCCAGGTATTTGACTGGCAATCTCTCAAATCCATCTAAAGAAATGATAAAAACCACACTATCTGCTCCACCTCATACAATGGAGTTGTATGAGGTGGAGCAGATAGTGCTACTTTTGCTATTTTTGGTTTTCTGGATTCTAAAATAAAAGCCAGGGTAAACAAAACATTAACATGGCTTGATGAGAAAACATTGCCAGAACAAGAAGATCTTATTCAATTTGTAATTCACAGAGGAGCTTTAACGTGTCAAGCCTCTAAAAATTTTAATAATCTTTTGTATGAAGAAATAGGAAAAAGATGCGCCAAAGCTAATTTAAAAAAAGAACGTTTGGAAAGAAAGCAACTAAAGAAGGATATTAAAAGAGCAATAGCTGAAAATGCCAAAACCACAAATCCTCTTTTTGTTAATATTGATGAAAAACAAAAACGAATTTTAGGAGTAATTTTGAAAAATGGAAACTTGATAGGGCAGCATTAAGCCATAAATGGGAGTTAGATGATGGTAATATACATTTATTTTTTGGTAGAATTGTTGATCAAAAGGTAGCAACAAAAAAAAACTCTATTACATACACAATAGGATATTGGAAAGTCAATGAAGATGAAGCTGAAGATATTGACATAAGCCAGGAAGGAGTTATAGCAGATCTAATACTTAAAGACTTGGAGTTCATTTAAAAATTTATACTATAATATATTAGGCAAAATTATACTATAATATATTAGGCATTATTATCTTTTATTTTTTTTATATTGATTATTTTGTATACATTTTTATTTTTTCCTTTTAATTTTTAAAATTTTTTATATTAACCAAGAGCAGACACAAGGTTATTTTACATTTCAGACACTGTACTTGGCATTATGAAAAGTCTAAGTATAAGTATGTTCAATCATATGTCAAATAAGAATGATTTGCTAAAAAATTGTGTTAATTAAAACTTAGGAACAAAACTGTTTAAAAAGATAGAGCCCCCTGTCTCAAATGTTAATTTAATGAGTTAATAAGTTTTTAAGTTTATTATCCGAAACTAAATTTAAATTCACATTTTTTAATACTCAAAGGTTATGACCATGTGAAATAACTTAAAAAAATAACTTTAAAAATATCAAAAATTATTGGGTTTGTTGATGGATTTAAATGTAGTATAAAATAATAAGTTAAAGTATTTTAATAACTTAGTCCCCTCACATTTTTATGTGGGGGTACAAACTTTTTGGGGTATTTTTGTTCCCAGGCTCCAATCACTTCAATTTTTTATACAATATTTTTTCACATTCTCATTATATTAAAGCATGAGCAAACTTAAATTTAGATTAATTATGGCAACTTTTTTAATAAAATGACTTGAATCGAATTTGAACCACTTTTAAAATGGGCTTAACCCCCTTTCCTCCTTTTTTTTTTTTTTTTATTTAATATAAGTGGGATATAATAAACAGTTTTTATCATATATGTGACGGTAAATTGTTAATACTTTATGAACTATGTTATAAAGTCCACTTTTTGAAGTCATTTTCTTGTGTATCTTTGTTAAGATGTCCACTTTATTTTCTCTACCTTCAAAATTGAAATTCAAAAAAGTTAATTGCAAGTTTTTACATCCAGTAATAATAAAAGAGTGTAGTATTAAAGCTAAATTGAAGTATCTGTGGGAAACTGCAGTTAAAGTTAGCCTTGGAAATGCATAAAAATCAATAAAGGATAATTTTATTTCAAAAATTGACAAAGTTATTGATATTTTATCCTGTAAATGTTTAATAATGTTATGTTCAGAGTATGGTTGTGATCAAGGCTGTAAAAAGCATGCGCCTGCTTTTAAATGTAAGTGTGTACGCGAAAACAAAATTCCTGTTATAGAACTCAGCCTTATCAAGTCGCAGAGAGCCAAAATTGGAAGTTTTGCCCATTACTATATTGCTGGAGTTGACACAATAGAATCAAAAAAAATAAAATAAGTTGTAAGGAGAAAAGAGTAGTATCGGCAGCAATGAAAGTTAAAAAATTTAAAAAAGAAGAAAAACTCAACCAAATGATTCCAGAAGATTATAATTGCCTTGCACAGTTTAATCAAGTAATAAAAAAATATATTTGTTAGTAAATAAATCTAATATAACTATTTTTAAAGAAATTAAATGTTGATAAGGTGATTTATAAAAATACCTCAATATCTTTTTTTTACTTTTTAGATTTTTTATAAACCATTAAATTAATGATAATAACACAAAGTTTAAGTCTTGTATTAATTTTTTTAGATTGAAAAAACAAGCAAAGTTGACTCAGAACCAAATATTTCTGGAGAACCAAAACCTTCCAATAATATTGTAAAGGTTTATAACAGAATGGACATAATAAACATTGCACTTGCTAGTATGAGGCATCACACTAGCTTACGAGAAATCGCAGAAATAGCGACAGCAGCACTTATAAATGCAAAAATTATAACAAAGAATGATACATTGATGATTATTGATCACAGCATATTTAAAAGGGCGCAAGAGAAGTTAGCAATTGAATTAAATAAAAAATTTAATAAAGAACTTGAAAACAATGTGGTTTCCTGTATTTTTTTTGGTGGCAGGAAAGATAATACAAAAGTATAAACGGGATTTGATGGTAGGTATTTCCCTGGTCTTCTTAAGGAAGAACATTATTTTGTCGTTACTGAACCAAGTGGTAAACATCTATTTCATTTTGTTCCTGATAAAACTGATAAAAAAACATGCTGAGGTAATTGCAGACCACTTGGTTAACTTGGTTGGTGGAAAGAAATTTAGGAACACAAATTAAAGCTATAGGAGGAGACAGTACAAATGTAAATACAGGTTGGGAAAGCGGTGTGATGCAATGGGTGGAAAGAAAATTGAGAAAGAGATTAGTGTGGATTGTGTGCGATCTTCACACAAACGAGTTAGGGTTAAGACATTTAATTATAAGCTTAGACAGCCCAACAAAATGTGGAAATAAGTGGTAAGGACTACTGGAAAAAATGTTAAATACAGCAACAATTAATCCCAGAATTACAAAAATTGATGTTAGGTCTACATTAATTGTTCTAAGTCCTGAAGTAATAAAGAGTTTAAGTTCTGATCAGAGCTATGCTTACAGAATAACAAAAGCAATAAGGTCTGGTGATTTACCTCAGCAGTTAGCAATGCTAGAGATAGGACCTGTTTGCCATAGCAGGTGGCTCACAACAGCATTAAGATTTTGCAGGATATAGGTTTCTCAGCATGGCCTATATGGCACCAACCTTCAAAATCTTACATAGATTGTCGAATTTATTGTAGGTGTTTATATTACAAACTGGTTTAACATAAAAGTTAAATCATATTGGGTTGAGGGACCAAGACACGTTTTATACCAATTCGAACTCCTCAGAAGCTAGAGGAAACCAGTTGTTGATATTGTAATGCCCACAATTAAAAGATCAGCTTGGTATGCACATTCAGAAGCTGTTTTACTAGCTATGATATGCAGTGAGAGTAAAGTAGAAAGAGTTCAAGCTGAGGAAATTATTCTTAAGCTTTGTGAAAAAAATTACGAGCAAACTAATACTTGTGTTTATAGCCATAGACATCGAAGAACACCGGATATTAACATTGATACTAAAGATCTTTTAAGTTTGATAGACTGGAGCAATAATATAACAGAACCACTTTTGACATGCAATTTTACATCTTCCGATATTAAAGATTTAGTTAATAACCCAATGGTTGTTTGCCATTGGAGTTCACATACACAATCAGTTGAGAAGTGTGTACAGCTTGTCACAGAAGCTGCAGGACATGTCCACACATCAGAAAGAAGAGAAGCTTACATAAGAGCCCAATTTATTAGCAGAGAGTTGATGTCTGCTAACAGGAGCATAAAAGACATGATGGAACTTCTAAGCTATACTTAAATAATATAGTGATTTTTTAATTATTATTTTTTGTTAAGCATAAAAAGTATAACATTCTGTTGTTGTTTTAATATTCAACCTATATGTTTTATATTATTATATTTAATAAACACTTAATATTTAATATTTAATAGATTACTTATTATTTTAATAGAATAGTTTTTTTTTTAAATAATATTAATTGTCATAACAATTTTTATTTTTATAGACAAAAATATGTGCCTAAAATTTATTTTAAGAGAAAGCTCGTGTTATAAGAATTACAAAAATTATAGGGCTATCTAACAATAGGGCGCCAAACTGCCTCAAGTGTAAAAAGCCCTACAAAGTACTTTGTAAATTTACTATATAAATAATAATAAAAAATAATATGTATTTTGTACAAAATATTAGGGTTTTTATAATAATATTCTTACATATTTACCGCATATAAGCAGAATATTTCAATTTTTTTTAGACTTTCGCAATAAATAGAATACTTAAAGAAATTAAAAATAAAACTGTTCAACTCTAGGCAGAAAAAAAATATTCAAAACAGCTAA